ATGTAGCTTTCTTTCCATTTGCTACCTCTTGTGCAGCTTTAACATTACAACTCCAACACTTCTCCTTGGTGTTAAAGCTAAGGATAACATGACATTAACTAAGCATTTGGAATCTGCCATTTGTGCAGTTCTTTATGCTTTGGTTTTGCTTTTTTGTTGCTACTAAAGCATTTCCTTTAGCAGATTAGCTCCTCCTTCAATGTTGCAGCTTTGTCTTGCTTGGATTTGCTACTTTCACACATTTTTTTGGAGCTTTGCTTAGTCTTCTCGTAAGTTGCTCAATTTTCTTCCTTTTTCATTTCCATCTACAACTTCCTTAGGGATATAGATCAAATTCAACTTTTGGTGAACACGATTTGATGCATGCTCTGAGTTTTCTTTCTTCCTCAGGCTGCACCCTTAATAGACTCTTTTTCCCTTTAGATTGCTAGTTGTAGAATTCATGGACACCTTCGTTTTGAATCCAGCTTTCCTCTCCTTAACATCTCCCATGGTGGGACTAACATATGCCTCAATCTTCACAGCCTTTTTTGCTGTAAGATTTTGGCCAAGCAAGAGGGGTTTCACATCAAAAACAATCTAAAAAACAAAGGTCGGGCTTTCTTTTTTTTTTTCCTGGTGTTCACTCAAACTCACTCTCAGAGGTCTCTCAAGATCATTTAAGCTCTAATACCATATTGGTATTTTTTGGTGAAAGAAAAGGAAAGGACTTTGAAGAGAAAGGGAGAAGCACCAGTGGAGTTCCCTCTTGAGGTGAGGTGAGAACTCTTTCTTTTTTTTTTCTTTCATTGTTCTGCTATTATATAGCAAAAAATTTAGTACATAAAGGTAATCTCCTCACCTAACCCATATCTAATACATTTAATGCATGATTACATTAAAAGACTTGCTACCACTTGTGTAGCTTCATTTTCTTTCATTTGCTGCCACTTGTGCAGCTCCATGTGGCTATACCTACTGCTACTTTGCAACCTTTCATTTGCATTTCATTACAACCCATTTCATCAACATTTGTAGCATAGCTTGTTGCACTTTGCTGCTAACGTGCTTAGTGCAGCTCTCCCTTCTTTTCATTTTGATGCCACCTGTGTAGCTTTCTTTCCATTTGCTACCTCTTGTGGAGCTTTGACACCACAGCTCCAACACTCCTCCTTGGTGTTAAAGCTGTGGATAACATGACATTAACCAAGCATTTGGAATCTACCATTTATGCAGTTCTTTATGCTTTGGTTTTGATTTTTTGTTGCTGCTAAAACATCTCCTTTAGCAGATCAACTCCTCCTTCAATGTTGCAGCTTCATCTTACTTGGATTTGTTGCTTTCACACATTTTTTTGGAGCTTTGATGAGCCTTCCCGTAAGTTGCTCAATTTTCTTCTTTTTTCATTTCCATCTACAGCTTCCTTGTTGCAGCTTCATCTTGCTTGGATTTGCTGCTTTCACACATTTTTTTGGAGCTTTGCTGAGCCTTCCCGTAAGTTGCTCAATTTTCTTCTTTTTTCATTTCCATCTACAGCTTCCTTAGGGATATAGATTATATTCAAATTTTGGTGAACAAGATTTGATGCATGCTTTGAGTTTTCTTTCTTTCTTAGGCTGCACCCTTGATAGACTCTTTTTCCCTTTGGATTGCTAGCTATAGAACCATGGACACCTTCTCTATGAATCCAACTTTCCTCTCCTTGACATCTCCCATGGTGGGACTAACATATGCCTCCATCTTCACAGCCTTTTTTGTTGCAAGATTTTGGCCAAGCAAGAGGTGTTTCACATGAAAACCATCTGAAAAACAAAGAAATATTGGGTTTTTTTTTTTTTTCTGGTGTTCACTCAAACTCACTCTTAAAGGTCCCTTCAGATCATTTAAGCTCTGATACCATGTTGGTATTTTTTGGTGAAAGAAAAGGAAGGGACTTGGAGGAGAAAAGGAGAAGCACCGGTGGAGTTCCCTCTTAAGGTGAGGTGAGAGCTCTTTTTTTTCATTCATTGTTTTGCTATTATATAGCAAAAAACTCAGTACATAAAGGTAATTTCCTCACCTGATCCTTATATAATACATTTAATGCAAGATTACATTAAAAAACTTGCTGTCACTTATGCAACTTCATTTCCTTTCATTTGCTGCCACTTGTGCAGCTCCATGTGGCTGTACCTGCTGCTACTTTGCAACCTTTCATCTGCATTTCATTACAACCCCATTTCATCAACATTTGCAGCATAACTTGCTACACTTTGCTACTACCGTGCTTGGTGCAACTCTCCTTTCATTTCATTTTGCTGCCACCTGTGCAGCTTTCTTTCCATATGCTACCTTTTGTGCAGCTTTGACACACAGCTCCAACACAACCCCATAATGCCATGTGCTGTGAGATCTTAAGTAACTAGGTACTTTTTGAATTGAAGTTTCATAGGAGCAGATCTAGGAACCCTACCCTCATTTTCGTGATACAACATCTTGGGAGGAAGGGATGTGTTATAAATTAGATCATTATGGAAGGTTAATGATGGTAAAGACATCAAGGTGTAAAGGGATACATGGTTGGATTTGGGATTAGGTTTTACTCTATTCATTGATATGAATCAAGTTGATATATATGGAGCTTGCGGGTTAGCCTATTTATCAACTAAAATTAAGTTGAGGCTTGGGATGAGAAGAGAGTAAGGGAGGTTTTTACTCTGAAGGTGACAGGTAATTCTATAAAAATGCTGATGAACAGTAGCACTCGTAATGACCAAATAGTACGGGAGGCTATTGTGGATGACAGATTCACAATTCATTTTGTATATAGATACACTTGGAAATTAATTTTCCTGACAAAGGACACCAATAAGGATGAAGCACTAAGGCTAGTTTGGAAGCTTTTATGGGGTCTGTAGGTTACAACCATGATTAAGCATTTCATTTGGAGGTTCATTTGGAGTACATTTCCCATAAAGGAGGCTTTTATTAGGATAGGGGTTGTTACATAATCGGACCATGTGATTTGCAGACAAAGAATGGAGGAATTGGCTCAAATTTTAATGGAGTGTCATTGAATGAAAGAGTTTTAGAAGAACACGCAAGTTAGGAGTTGGTTGGAAAGGATACCGCCAAGTTTTCTTCATGGAAGAATGGTTAGACATTCTAGTGAAAGAGAGGGAATAGGCCATGGCTGAACTTGCATGCCTTTCTCCAATGCACTTGAAATAATAATTTGACATTTTAAGTTAAAAGTGCTTCACCTTGAAAAGATCAGTGATTATAGCACAAAATCATTTGGACGAGTATAATATAACCGTAGCTAAAGATCCTATTTCAAGAATATAAAGTTTGTGGGTGGAACCCTTTCTATCCACTTGGGGATGGTAGGATGAAACTCAATTGTGACACAGCAGTAACAGAAAAGGGTCAAAGGAATGACACTAGGTGTAATCATTTGAGATGAGAGTGGCCAAGTTGTGGTGCCAATGTATGAGAGGCTTGAGGTAGGGGGACAAGTGCTTTTAGCATAGTTAATGGCAATTCAACGAGGTATCAGATCGACTGGCAAAGTATGTTACCATTGTTTGGGCAGCTTCACGATCCAACACTATAGATACCTTCGGCTGCTTCAACACCTGAAATTCTCGAGGATGTTTCCTCAAGAAAAACACTCCGACACTCAAGTTAGCAATACTCAATATTTTAGAGAGAGATGCTCTCAAAGAGTAATTATAGAGAGAAAAGCGTAGTGTGGAGTTAATACCTTGCATGGAGGTAGTTGGGGGTATTTATAGCCCCATGTACTGACATGAGCCTGCATGCGTATGCATCCCATTGGCCCATGTGTCATTGCCCATGTGTCATTGCCCATGTGGGTATGTCTCCCCAATTTGGGGCTCGTGAATGTATCGTTGGGCCTGTTGGACACGACCCAGATAAGATGTTAGGCCCAATCCCAACATTACTTCCCTCTTAGTGTTCGATTGACGAACTGGGTTGAAAGTTCCAGCAGCGCAACGTTCTACCTGGAGAATGGGGGTAACCATCTTTGGATTTTAATGAGTGACATTGCCCATGGCTGAACTAGGTGACCTCATCGGGTGTCTATGGAGATGCCTCCTCCTTATCGAATGTGTGTAGGTGAGCTGCTATCGAAACAATGTGTGAATTCGGTGTTCGTCAACGAGTGCAATGAGCTCGTAAAAGTGAACTCGTATGATGAATTTCCAATTTCCAAATGAGGTAGATTTAAGAAGAGATTAGATTTCTTGGCAAAGCGTGCATCGTACATAAGGTACAACACATTATGTAGCGAGCTCGCCTATAGTAACGTGAAGGCGAGCAGACGTCAAACGAGTTGAGCCACTCCAGCCTTTCACAAATTCGAAATATTGAGGTCATCCTGCTATTACGAGAATAAGCTAAAACAACGCTGATAGAATGTGAATACCAAGACGAACCGAAGTGGGCGACCTCAATCGTCACAATAGCGTAGATCTCTGGGATATGGAACAACTCTGAAGAAATTAGTAATGACCTAATCTCTGGTATTCTTCAAAATTCAAAACTAAGGTGAATTTCTGATTTGTTACGATATGAACCTTTGAGATTTTTTAAATTTTAAACTGAGGTGCATCTCGGATTTGTAACGATTTGAACTTTCGAGATTTGTCAAATTTTAAACTGAGGTGAATCTCGGATTTGTAACGACCTGAACCTTTGAGATTTTTTAAACTTTAAAATAAGGTAGATCTCTTAGGAGATACATCCAAGGCGTTTGGCATTCTTCTACCAATGAAAGATATCCTTCTACCTTCCCGCAATAAATGCTGATTCAACATTTGAGGGGACATGATAGTTGTAGGCGGCGAGTTTTGTGCACTCAACCGTAAATGACTGCCACATGTATGCATTTAATTAGTAGGCCAGAAACACGCGTACGATGTTTACAAGAGTGCGATATATGAGAAAGGCAATAGAAACATTCACTTAGCCATTTCTCTATTTCGTTGCACAGTATTCTATCATTTTTCGCAACGAAGGTTGCAAAGGCGTTTAAGGCTCATTCCTTAGGACTTTTTAGCAAAAAGACATTAGCTTTCCAAAACTTAGGCAAAAATGGCTTCTTTTCACGATGTAAGAGAGCTTTGGGGTAACCAAGCGAGGAAAGAAGAAGAAAGTGTTATATTAGTGGAACCAATTGCCATGATAGTGCCACCAGAGTTGCAGGATTTGCCCGGAACCATCACACCAAAGAGCAGCGCTGGTTCGAGCGCAGGTGGTGATTCTGGCAAACAACGTTCTTCAACCTCTAGGAATTCGTCTATAGAAGGGACACCCAGTGAGGCGGGGAATGAGGTAGAAGGTGTTAGAAGCCCTTCTTCAGCACTTGTGTTTGCAGATTAGGAGAAGAAAACTATTGGTGGAAGATTGAGCAACATTCAAAAAGCGCCAAAAGATTTGCCCGCTGAATTCCTGTTCAGGGCGACGCTTCACCATGAGATCGCAGACGGCGCAGCTACTATTAAGGGGTATAAAAGATTGAGGGAAATGGTGAGAGATTACCAAATTCCCAAAACAATCTTGATACGAACTGGCACAAAGAATAAGAAAGCGTGCTCAGTATCTGCGACGAGGTGGGTGATAGTATACGTAGATCATTTTGACACCGGTCTACATTTTCCTCTGCCTGGGCTGATTTTTGATGTTTTGGCAAAGTATGAGTTGGCCCTAATGCAGCTGACTCCCAACAGCATAAAGTTCATTATAGGGTTTATGTTTTTGTGCGAGAGGTTAGAGATACCTGCAAAAGTGGTGGTCTTCAGGTTGCTCTTCTTATGCCGTTATGCCCCTTCACCAGCGGAACAAGGTGGTATTATATCTCCGGAAGGGAAAAGATGATGATTTTTACAAACATCAGAAATAAGGTGGCGAAGTGGAAGAGGCAATTCATTTTCGTTCGTGACACGTGGACTAAGAGGATGAATAACAAGCTTGTTGCCCGTATATCAAAGTGGCGTATGCCAAATACGTATATGAACTACCCTTAGCTGGCCGCTCGTGATGTCAATGTGAAGAATCGACTATTAGATTTTGTTAAGGCTAAGGGTTTAGTAGATTTAGAAGTCTTGGTTACCTGAGAGCAGCTCGCACTACTTGGGTTTGTCGACGTGGCAAACCTGTATACTGAGGGTATATTTCTATTGTATACTATAGTTTATAGCTGATCTAAGTCTTATGCATTTGTTTGTGCAGGAGAAATGAGCAACATATTAGAGAGGCAGCACCAGTGAGCTCAGAGCTCGCATAATCGCGGGGCGGGTTCCAGCTCACAAAGGTCAACTCAGTTTGATGAACAATCGCCCACTGCACCATCTCACAGCTCGTCTCAGAGGGAGCAAGGTTCTAGCTCGGTGTCCAAATCTCGGACCAAGCAAAGAGTTCATACCCAGCCTTCAGACTCTCGAAGGCGTGCTTGTGATGACCCTGATGTAGAGGATGATATTCCCCTCATTTAGAGGAGGACGAGCTTGGGGTCTAAGCCTGTTTCAGCCGCTGCTGCGACACGGCTTTCCAACGTACCACCTGCACCGACACGTGATGTTGCTAACCCCCAGCCCTCCTCAGCATTTGTATCGGGGCCCAGAATTGCATACCCTAAGGGCTTTAGCTATGTTCGGACTGATTGCCAGGCCACCATGGTATAGTGTCTGAAAAACTTTATGCCCCTTGTAGATCGGTAGTGTGCAAAGGGGCACGTTCAGCAACATGGGGGTCATGCTACCTTACTGAAGCTGATGGACATAAGTATCCTCAATGAGCATATTGTTAACAAACTTGGAAGTTTACATTAGAGACTAACGATTAAATCCATATGGCAAGCATTCAACTATACAGTAGCACTCTTTGAGTGCGAACAAGGGGCACGTGGGCAGAACGGCTAGCTCCAGCAAAATTGCAAACAACTGGCCTCTGAGAAAGCAAGCTTAGAGGATGAGGTCAATTGTTTGCAGAACTCGGAGATGGCAAACCAAGCAGCGTCAATGGAGAGCCGAGCTAACGAGTTGGCCTGTAAGGTCAACGAACTAAGAGATGAGCTAAAGAAAGCTCAAGCCAAGAGGGAGAGAGGCATTCAAGTTGCCAAGGAGGAGGCCAATCATGCTGAAGACCGAGCCAAAAGAGCTAAATCTGACAGGGACAAGGCTCTTTACGAGCTAAACTCCCTAAAAGATAGGGTTGCAGAAGCCAACCAGAATGTCGCTCCGGCTGAGGCGTCCTTGGAGCAAGCCAAGAAGTGCCACCAGCACGTTATCTGCTTTGCTCGGGCACAAGGAGCTGAGTGGCTAGTTGGAGCAGATATGTTCCAAGACGCCGTGGCAGTTGCCTCAACAAACACAACCACGGACATCTACAATGAGATTCGTGGGAAGGTGTTGCAACACTGGGCTGACTTTTCAATCGGCAAGCTAGCCTTCTTTGAGGGGAGGAAATGGACGAGCAAGGAAAAAGCCTCGACCCTTCAGTTGATGCCACTGTGAGGTTGAAATAGGAACTGAACGAAGAGGGAGTGCTAGTGTGGCCTCCATCAATTGTAGAAGAGGGGGAGGATATTGAGGGCTTGCTAAGCTTTGATGCTTGGGTGGCAGAGCCCCTTGAAGTGCAAGCCGAACCATCGAGCACTCCCCCGACCTCTCAGCCCACCATCGCTCCAGCTCTCCCCTCACCAGCTCTGTCATGTCCTGCTCGACCTACTACTACGCCTACTGACGCGTCCATCCCCGTCAACCTGACAGATGATTAGTTTAGGATTTTTTTCTCTTCTTTTGTACTTTTGTATTGGTCATTTGACCCATTTACCCTTTAAATTGTTATCTCTTGTACTTCAAATGTAAATTTTGAATATTAATACAAATTTGGAGATTTTTTGGACTTTCTGTGTTTATTGAGCTGTGTACATTCTTCACATTTCTGAATACACTTTGTTGATAAGATAATAACATACATATTAACTGTAAAACTTCCTAAAGTTATGTATGTTCCAAATGAATGATAACTGACGACCTTGTAGATCTGCTAATAGATAAGACCTAGGTCGCTTAATACAAATAACCACATAAGGACCTTCCCAGTTTGGAGAGAGCTTACCCATGTGTGGGTAAGTGTTAGTGAACCCAACCTTGCGTAAAACCAAGTCACCGACTTGAAATTGCCGAGCTCATACCCTTTTATTGTAAAATCTAGCCATGCGATTCTAATAAGCCATGTTTTTTATTCGAGAGATCTCTCTAACCTCCTCGACAAAGTCTAGGTTTTCTCTTAGGAGTTGTTCATTATCATAATCATTGTGACAAGCTGACTCGTTGGATGATAAACCAATTTCCACTGGGATTACGGCCTCAGCTCCATAGGCGAGGCAGAATGGGGTTTCACTAGTGGTTGAGCTAGGCGTGGTGCAACATGACCATAGAACTTTGTTGAGCTTGTCAACCCAATTAGATTGTGCCACTAAGACGCATGTCTTAAGACGCATGTCTTAAGACCCTGTAAAACAATTTTATTCACTGACTTTGCTTGTCCATTTGACTGTGGGGTATATACAGAAGTGAGGGTCAGCTTGATGTTATAATTATCACAAAACGACCTGAGTGCCGTTGCTCAGAACTAAAGTTCATTATCAGCAATTATTCACGTAGGAATTCCAAACCTGCGTACAAATGCATTGACTAAGGCACAAATGCTTACGTATATAATACATGCGTGTTTTAAACTGTGAGTACCTGCACAGTATGAAATTGAACAGAAATTCCTCTATTTTCTTCTTGGTCGTTGTGGATAGCGATTTGGCTTTTATCCACTTAATGAAGTAGTCCACAGCAACTATGAGGTGTGTGCAACCTCCCTTGCCTTTCCATGCCTCAAGATCTTCTGAGCCAGAGTTTTTCC